GTATTCGATTTTTATAAAATTATGTCTTCAATTCCGTTTCTTTTGTTAGGCTTGCATCTCAGTGATGCAGACAGAAAGAATTTAGCTCTCGCTGAGATCGAACATTTGTTGAGACGTCGCGGCACGAGTCTTCGGGAATATCCAACAATGCCTTTTCCTGATATGACAAGTTTTACTACAAATACAAATCGTTTGATTCTTGATGAGCTAAGTTATGACCGCAAGGCATTATCAGTCGAGCACAGTACTCTTATTAGAAACATGACTGACGAACATAAAGGAATTTATTCAAAGATTATGGAAGCGGTACACTCGGGTCAAGGCGGTGTTTTTTTTGTCTACGGTTATGGCGGAACCGGCAAGACATATTTGTGGAGGACTTTAGCTGCGAGATTACGATCAAAGGGTGAGATCGTGCTTTGTGTTGCATCGAGTGGAATAGCTTCTCTTCTGTTGCCCGGTGGAAGAACTGCACACTCTCGCTTTGGCATACCAATTAATCTTCACGAAAATTCATCGTGTGACATCAACCAGGCTAACCCTCTTGCAGAACTAATTATACGGTCCTCCCTCATCATATGGGATGAAGCTCCAATGATGTATAAACATTGCTTCGAAGCTTTTCAAACATCATTTCAGGCGATCATGGGTTCGGTCAACCCGATCAACCATTTTAAACCATTTGGTGGCAAGACTGTCGTTTTTGGTGGAGATTTTCGACAAATTCTCCCAGTGATTCCAAAGGGAAATCGTCAACAAATTGTTAACGCTTCTATAAATGCTTCAACCATTTGGCAAGATTGTACTGTGCTTAGGCTTACGAAGAACATGCGTCTTCAGAGCCTTGATGATTCGGATGAACGTGAGGAGCTTTCTAATTTTGCTGATTAGATTGCTAGCATCGGAGATGGTACTATTGGAGGTTATAACGATGGTTGTGCCTCCATTGAAATCCCAGATGATCTGTTAATAGCTCCGTCCGATGATCCCATTGCAGCAATTGTTGAGAGCACGTATCCAATGTTCAAGAATGCAACAGATGATCCAAGTTATCTGAAGGACAGAGCCATACTTGCACCTACGTTGGAGATGGTTGAATCTATTAACCAATACATGTCGTCGTTGAATCTAACAGAAGGTCGTGTATATTTGAGCTCCGACAGTACGTGTAAATCCGACCAGAGTTCTGACTTCTTGTCAGAAATCCACACTACTGAGTTCTTAAATTCTCTCAAATGTTCTGGTACGCCAAATCATGAGTTGAATTTGAAGGTGGGAACTCCGGTTATGCTGTTGCGAAACATGGATCATTCTATGGGATTGTGCAATGGGACACGTTTGGTTATAACCAGACTCTCCAAGCATGTCCTAGAATGTAGGATACTTACGGGGGACCATGCAGGGGAAAAGGTGTTGGTACCTCGAATGACGATAACTCCTTCGGATGCACGAATACCTTTTAAGTTTCAACGAAGGCAGATCCCATTTGTGGTCTCTTATGCAATGACTATTAACAAGAGCCAGGGTCAATCGTTATCCCACGTT